ATGAATTTTCCTCTTAGTACTGCCTTTATAGTGTCCCATAGATTTTGATAAGTTTTATTGGAGTTCTCATTTACCTCTAAGAATTTTTTAATCTCCTCCCTAAATAATTTTTTTTTATCTCCTCCAAATGTCTTCTGTTATTCATGCATCATTGAATAGTGTATACTTTAGACTCCAGGTGTTGGAGTAGCTTCTACTTTTATTATCATTGATTTATAATTTCATTCCATCATGGTCAGATAAAATGCAGGGTAGTATCGTTATTTTTTTGTATTTGCTAAGACTTGCTTTGTGGTATAACATATGGTATATTTTGAAGAAGGATCCATGTGCTGCTGAGAAGAAGGTGTATTTGCTTGTTGATGGAATATTCTATATATGTCTGTTAAGTCCAAATTATTGATTGTATTATTGGGTTCTATAGGTTTTTTGTTTAGTTTTTGTTTGGAAGATGTATCCAGTGGTGAGAGAGGTGTATTAAAGTCACCCAATATTACTGTGCTGTGGTCTATTTGGTTCTTGTGTTTGAGAAGGGTTTGTTTGACATACGTAGATGCCCCATTGTTTTGGGCATAGATACTTATGATTGTTATGTCTTATTGATGTATGAATCCCTTAAGCAGTATGAAATGTCATTCTTTATCCATTTTCACTAGTTTTGGTTTGAAGTCCACTTTATCTGATGCTTGTTTACATGGTCCATGTGAGTGGTATATTTTTCCCACCCTTTCACCTTCAGTCTGTGTATGTCTTTTCCTGTGAGATGAATCTCTTGAAGGCAGCATATTGTTGGGTCTCTTAAAAAATCCAATCTGTCAGTCTATGTCTTTTAATTGATGAGGTTAGGCCATTCACATTCAGGGTTATTATTGAAATATGAATCGTATTCCCAGAAATTTTGGTTTATTTTTGTCTTTTAACTTGACTTGGTTTCTACTTTGATTGGCTTTTCCTTTAGTGTAGTTCCTCCCTTTGCTGATTTTCACTGTTTTTCATTTCCTCCTCCTAAAATATTTTGCTAAGGATGCTCTCTCAGGCTTTCTCACTGTCAATTCTTTTAACTTTTGTTTATCATGAAAGATTTTTATTTTGCCATCAAATCTGAAGCTTAATTTTGCTGGATGTGATTCTTGGTTGGCATCCATTTTCTTTCAGAGCCTGGTATGTGTTCTTCCAGGATCTCCTGGCTTTGAGGGTCTGGGTTGAAAAATCTGCTGAGATATAAATTGATCTCCCCCTATATGTGATCTCATTCTTCTACGGCCTTTAAGATTCTATCATTTTTCTGTGTGCTAGGCATTTTCATTATAATGTGGATCTGTTGTAATTTTGTACATTTGGTGTCCTGTAAGTGCCTTGTATTTGATTTTCCAATTCATTCTTCATGTTTGGGAAATTTTCTGATATTATTTCATTGAAGAGATTGTGCATTCCTTTGAATTTGAATCTCTGTGCCTTCCTGTATCCCAGTAAATCTTAGGTTTGATCTTTTGATGCTGTCCCACAATTCTTGGATGTTCTGTTCATGGTTTCATACCATCTTCACTGTGTGGTTAACTTTATTTTCAAGACTGTATACTTTGTCTTCATTTTCTGATGTTCTGTCTTCCAAGTGATCTAGTCTTTTGGTGATGCTTTCTATTGCGTTTTTTTATTTGGTTTATTGTTTCCTTCATTTCAAGGATTTCTGATTTTTTTTTTTCAGAATCTCTCTTTCTTGAAGTAACCTTACTACCTGTATGTTTTAGTTGTCAATGGACCTTTATTTATTTATTTATATGTTGCTGAGAATCGAATCCAATGCCTCATACACACCAGGCAAGCACTCTACTACCAAACCACAACCAGAGACCTGGTATCTGATTTTTAATGATCATCATACATCATATAGTGTATGCAGTGTAGCATACTATTGGCTCTTCTTACTTGACTGTAATATTCATTTTGCAATCCAAATTATAGGGATTTTCATAGAAATTTTCCTTAAACCAATTGTTTTGTAAACTAAATGGAAAGTGTTATATACTTATATTTACCAAGATGAGCTTTGTTTGAAGAATTTACAGGTTAAAATTGTACTTTGAACATTTTCATTATTATTATTATTATTATGGCTCACTACGTTGCTGAGGGCTGGCCTTGAACTTGAGATCTTTCAGGCCTCAGCTGCCAGAATGATTGGGATTATAGGCACGTGCCATCATGCCCAAAGACATTTTTTAATCTGTAAAAATGAGAGTTTTTATATGTCACATAATTTTGGCCACACACACACACACACATGAAAAAAAACAAACAAAAAAACCCAACCAACTAATAATAAAGCAACTATTTTAATATCTGTCACCAAATTAACATTTTTTGATGAAAAATATAAAATTTAAATTCAGTATCTTTTTAAAGCACTTTGTTAAAATATTAGGAAGACTGTTTAATATAAAATAATCACATTGTTACTCTCCATCTTACTAAAAAGTATCACTGAGATTCTAGTACTATCTCCACTTGATGAGATATTTTCTTGTAATATTTGAAAGTGAAAGGATGAGTGATAAGGCCACCCCAACCTGTTAGCACTGTGGAATTTCCACTCTTCCTTTAGGAAATTTCAGTGTCCTCTGTAGCAGTACCATTTTATAATGGACACAGTAAATAGTGCTGTTTATATATATATACACACACACACACACACACACACACACACACACACGCACGCAATTCCCTTCTCACTGTTTTAATATAAAAATAAAAATAGGTAGAAGCCAGGTTTGGTGGCACATGCGTGTAATCCCAGCAGTTGGGAGGCTGAGGCAGGACTGCAAGTTCAAGGCCAGTCTCAGAAATTTAGCAAGACCCTGTCTCAAAATAAAAAACAAAAAATAAATGGGTATGTAGCTCAGTGGTATAGTACCCTGGGGTCTATCCCTAGTATCTGCTCCCCCCACCCCAATATTGGTAAAAATCTTAATTTAGTCTTCCTATACTCCAAAGGATCATTTTGCCTATGTAAACTGGAGATAATTACTTCATAAATTTTTTTTTTAAAATAATAAAAAGGTAAGCCAGGCATAGTGGCATGAACCTGCAATCCCAGATACTTGGAAGGTTGAGGCAAGACAACTGCTTGAGATCAAGAGTTTGAGCCTGATCAACATAGTGAGACCCTCACCCCTTCTCTTCACAAGAGAGTAAAGAGCCAAAGTGTCCAATAATAAGAACTTGTTAAATAAACTATGATGCAATTATATTATGGACTACTATGTAGTCATTAAAATGATGATATAGAAATATGGCATATGGAGTGAAAAAAATACAAAGCCATTGTGTTATGGTCACATTCTCATAAAATATGACATAAAATTCTGAAGAAATAACACCAATGGATAGGTTACATGTGATTTTTATTTTCTTCCTTTCGTTTATTTTTATTTTTTTGAGTTTCTACTAATGGGCATTTTTTTCTATGTTCACTATAGCAACTCTAATAAGAAAAGTCCAAATACTTGAATGGATTGTGTTTTTGACCTCTAGTAGATGGTTATTTCTACCTTGTGGTCTAATCAGCCAGCTTTATTTCTCTGAACTTTTCTACATCAAAGTCTTTGAAAGGCATTCACAAAATCTTTGGAAACAAGTTCAGATTTTCTAATATTTCAGAAAGCACAGTTTTATGGGGAAATATTTAAAATAGTGAACAAAAATAAAAAGAAATATTTTAATTTCAAAATTCTTTGGATTTTTTTTTTTTTTTGTACTGGGAATTGAACCTACAGGGCACTTAACTACTAAACCACATCCTCAGCCCCTTTTTAACATTTTAATTTAGAGACAGGTTCTCACTAAATTGCTGAGGTTGGCTTTGAATTTGTGATCCTTCTGCCTCAGTCTCCTGAGACGCTGAGATTACAGGTGCAGGCCACTGCACCCAGATTTAATTCTTTGGATCTTTAAAGGCTCTTAGAAAATAAAATACAGAGTTCAGTAAATATACTTGTGATTGAGACCTACTTTTAGAGAGCTGTAGGATATTTGGATATGGCCAAATATCACATAGGTTTTACTTTTTTCCCTCTCTGTGTGTCACACACATAGGTTCTAGTCACTGCATGAAGCTGCCTCTGGTGCCACTGACACTAAAGGGCGAACATACTCTTCTCCCAATCGCAGGTATCACCTCAGAGCTTCCTTAAATGTTCAACTACATACTTCTTGTTGTCTTCATTATACTTGCCCCTCCAGCAATGATCTAGAAAGATCTGTGTCTGCTGCTTACTGTAAGCTGCAGTGCTTTTCAAGAACACATTGTTGGAGACCGTCTTGCAGGCAGACTGTTCTCACACAACATCTAGAGCCTAGCTCTGCCTCATGGTCCAAACCAATAACTTCACTGGTAGAAAAGGAACTGTCCTTTTCCAGGAAAGCACCAAGTGGAATCCTTTTGGGGGTGATCTGGAGATCTTAGGGTTTGCTAATACCTGGCTTGTCTGCATTACTCTTTCTAGAACCTATATTTGAGGTAGATGGGAAGATTTAGAAGGGACCTTCTTCCTGGTTCCAAGCAGAGTATAGAGATTCTAATAAAATTCCAGTTAATCTTGGAGGACACAGAATTTTGAAAAACACAAATTCTCAGGAAAGCTGCTTATCCATTCCTAAGGGTAATGCTGATGTGTGTTGTGGTGGACAGTGTGGGGAAATGTTGAATGGTGAATTTGTGTAATGGGCAGATAGGTGCTCTACTGTGTTCCCTGTCCCACAGATACTAGAGAAGAACAAGATTTGTATAATTCTTTAAACTTATTAAATATATCTTCTTAGCATCAACTATATATACAGGGCAGAATTGGCTTGTTGGTGCCTGCAATTTTTTCAGAGTTAAGACCGACAAGAGTTCATTGGGCAAAACTTATCATACCCTTGTATTTGAAGAAGTATAAGAAATGATTTATTTTGAAGAAACCACTATATATTAGTGAGATAAGGTGGGTTCTATAACTCACCTGGAGAGCAGGTAACTGAATCTTTCAGTTGCTTGGCTTTGGTTGTCACCTGTTTCAAAAACAAGAAAAGCAAAATACCTTACTTTCCATGTGCCTTGTAAGTTGAGTGGCCTATTTCATGTCAAGTTCATGTGAACAGCCAGGGTTCATTGTATCTTAGGCCTAGAAGACACTCAGCCATCAATCAGTCCAATGCATTTATTTAACCAACTGGGGAAACTGAGGCCCAGAGAGATTAAATGGCTTGACCCCAAATATCCATCCGTTCAGTAGAAAAATCAGAAGAACTCAAATCATCTCACTACCTCTGAATGACAGTTCTATTACACTAGACTGCCTCTTAAAACATGCTACTTTTGTTGGGAATAGTGGTGCAAGCTTGTAATCCCATCTTCTAGGGAGGCTGAGGAAAGAGGACTTTAAGTTTGAGGCCAGCCTTGGCAATTTAGCAAGACCCTGTTTCAAAATAAAAAAAGGACTGAAGATGTCTCTCAATGGTAGAGTAAATACAAGTGGGTCATTTTCATCTCTTCCTTTCATTCTTCTTCTTGTTTTTCTTTTTTTAGTTAGACTTCCAGAAATTGAGGAATGTCATATCAGTGACTACAGTAGTCATCATTTATACTAATGATCTCACAATGTAAAATTCTATGTATCCCAGAAAGAAACCCTAAGATAATATAACTTTGACAGTGATGTTAGAGGAACAATCTTTTGGTGGTGTGGGGCAGTTGGATCCAAAAATCATGATTAATTTACATCTGAGTGTGGATTCACAAAAGTAGTTTTATTTAGTGGTAATTCTTTTCTACTTTACATTTTAACCAATGTACCATATTGTATGTTTCATTCTCTAGTTTGCTTTTTTCATTTGATAATGCCTTGGAGCTCTCTCTTTCTATATATAGTTCTCTCTCTCTCTCTCTCCACACACACACACACACACACACATATATATTTCCATATATATATTTTCCCCTTTTAAAGAGATAAAAATTTACAGAGCATATGATTTTATATGTACAATTCAACAACTTTCTTTAAAAAATAGATCTTCGTCAAAAATTTCCCAATTGAATTATAGAACATTCTTATTACTCCAGAAAGTCCTCTTTCTACTCTGCCATGAATAACTGCTATTCTGATTTCTATGATATATTTTTTAAAAAACTGAGCCCAAATTAAAAATTTTAAATGAAGTTATTTGCCCCAATACATCTCTAACAAGATAGCTTTTCTCAATTTAAAATGTTATTAAAGTAATATTCTATTGTATACATGGACAAATTTTTAAGCTTTTCTATTCTATTAATCCACACAATATTCTTTTTTTATACTTTTATTTTGTTTACTTATTTTTATGTGGTGTTGAGGATGGAACCCATGGCCTCACATGTGAGAGGCAAGTGCTCTCTACCACTGAGTCACAACCCAGCCCCTTAATCCACATATATTGTTGAACCAACATATTTCACTTAATAAAATTTGAAAATAAAACCTCAGAAAGTATGATTGTTAAGGACTTCAAGTTAGGTGGGTAGACTGGTACTCAAACTTGGTTCCACTTTTATCAGCTGGATAAATTCGAGCAACATTATCTTTTCTTTGTCATGTGTAGTACCTTCTCTAATATGTGGATCATATTTCTAATACCACTTGTGTCTTATGGGTGTTTTAAGTTTTAAACAAGCTCTTAGCATAATACCTAGCAGATGTTAAAGATTCAGCAAATACTCCTATTATAATCGAAATAAATCATTTTCCATTCATACAAAGGGCAGAAATAGAGAAAACATTTAATGTTGCTTAGAAACAATTTCATTCTCAACCTTCTCTCTCCACAGATGACCTTGCTTCCTATTTAATAGAAACAAATTGAAGTTACTCAACATGAGTGTCCTTGACTTCCAAATTTTCCAATTCAAAATTTGATTGCACTATCACATATCCTTCCCTTCTTTAAGTCCAAATCAAAGAAAAAAATTATCTTTCTTCTTCTTAAGCTAAAGATGTCACTTGAATCCTCATAGGACTATGTCCCATAAATTAAATTTCCTTTGCTTTTATCTTCATCTTCTCCTGGTCTGCCAGTTACATCCCATAAACCTTCATATTTAGCTTAAATAGGCTCTACTCTAAGACAATGTTCCCTTGATCTTGTTTTTTTCTCTATTCCACTTGGCTTTCATGAGAGTTTCTCCTAGCTTTTCTTCTCTCTCTTCCATCACAGGCTCCTCCTACATACTCCTGCCCCTTGTTCTCTAATATAATTTCCTTAACATCCAGTTCTTGCCATTTTATAGTTCTTCCCATTTTCTCCTTTATTATCTCATTCTATCTATTTAACAATATCTTAGAAAATAAATTATTAACCTGTGTCTCTGGTCCTGCCCACTACTTTTGAATGCCAATCTCACAGAAATTAACCATGTAACATGGATTATTGGATCTGAAAAGGACCTATGTGCCATGTTGTGTTCTAAATAAGAGCTGCACATGTGTATGTGTATATACCAATTGTTCACAGCAGCCATATTAAGTAGGTTTAGAATTCTTATCCCCACTTTACAAAATCTGAAGCCTGAAGAAAATAAATAAAGTCCAAGGTTGAACCCAGGAAAGTAAAGATCTAAAATCTTTGCTCTCAATCATTCTAACACATGTCCTTTTGAAAAAAAAAATGCCTCATTTATGGACAAATAGGTCAAGTACTCTTTGTCCTCTACTACATAGCTTCTCTCTAACTGCCACTAAATTTCTCATTTATAGATCTATTAGCTCCTTAGACTAAACAAAACCCAAACTAAACTCACCAACTTCTCTCCAAAATAACTTCTATATTCCTCCTCCTCTTCTTAATAGTACTGTCATTCCATTCACATAAGATCAAATCCTGAGTCAATTTTTAGATTTTTTTCTCCCTCTTAACCCATTGCCAAGTTCTTCACTATAGCAACCTCACCAGTTCCCTCCTTTCTCCTGTACTAGTCTCACCGCCTATATCAGTCTGGATTAGGCTAATCATTGATTATATAATAGTGTTCAATTCTGAGCCTAACAGGCAAAGGAATTCACACTACAATTTCATTCTCTTTCCTGTTTGTATCTTTTAGTTCAGGAGAACCAAATCATTAATGCTGTCCCAGATGTCAGAAAAACTCAGGGCAACCATCATCAACATCATCTGAAATGTCTTTCCTTCCTTCATCAAAGCTCTCCATAAGTATGTGTTTGTCTAGAGCCAAACCACCCTTCAAGGTACTTTCAAATGTGCCTTTCTTCTCGAACACTTCTCTGATGTCCACCATCATGACATTCAACTCTCATTACAATTAATCCTTGTTCTCCCAATTGATGTTACATATTTTAAAAAATTTTTGTTTATGTTTTTGGTACCAGGGGTTGAACCCAGATATGCTTTCCCACTTGACCACATCCCCAGTGCTTTTATTTTTTATTTTTAAACAGGACCTTACTAAGTTGTTTAGGGCCTTGCTTAGATGCTGAGATTGGCCTTGAACTTGTGATACTCCTGCCTCAGCCTCCTGAGTCACTGGAATTATATGTGTGTAACACTGTGCCTGGCAAGATTTAATTTTTAAAAACATTATCATACAAAACATTGCCTTTTTTCTTTTTTGTTGTATAGTTCTATAAATTTTAACCCATTTTAGATTCATGCAATTATAAACACATATAGGCTGTGGGATAATTTTTCTTGCATCTTGTTTTATTAACAAATATTTTTGAGATTACTCCAGAATATTACACAAAGCTCTCGCCCTTTAAAAAATTCTTTAATATATAATTCATCTAGTTTTCTCACTTAAAGTATGCAATTCAATGTTTTTTAGTATATTTACAGATATGTATAGTCAATTACAGAACATTTTTATCACCTCAAAAAGAAATACAGACCCTTTAGCTATTCATCCCCATCCCTTAACCCAACCCACTCCCCACCAAATGCTAATCAAACATTAAACTACTTTCTGTCTCTATAGATTTCTCTATTCTGGACTTTCATATGAATGGAATCATATAACATGGGCTTTTTGTACTGGCTCTTTTTACTTTGCATAATGTTTTCAAAATTCACTAGAGTTGTGGTATGTAACAGTATTTCCTTTTTCCCTGAGTGACATTCTGTTGTATAGATATACCTCATTTTGTCTATCCATTCATCAGTTAGTAGATATTTATGTTGTTTCTATCCTTTAGCTATTATGAATAATGCAGCTATCAATAGGTATGTGTTATTGTACCTGGCCATGTTCAATTTTTATTGGACATGTATTTTCACTGGAAGAACATCTATTCATCTCCTGTATCCATTGTTTATTTGGGTTATTTGTTATTGAGTTATAAATTTTTAAAAATATATTCTGAGTACACATATTTTATCATATATAAGATGCAGAGTACATTCTCCCATTCATTAGGGGGTTATCTTTTTACATGTGGGTTTTTTTTTGGGGGGGAGGAAGTACTGGGGTTTGAACCCAGGGGTGCTTTACCACTTAGCTATATTACTAACCCTTTTTTATTTTGAGACAGAGTCTAAGTTGCTGAGGCTGGTCTTAAACTTGGGATCCTTCTGCCTCAGTCTTCCAAGTTGCAGGAATTATAAGTTTGCACAACTGTGTCCAGCTTGTCTTTTTACTTTCTTGATGGTATTACTTGAGGCACAAACATTTTAAATTTTGATGAGAACTGAATGTATTTAATTTTTAATATTTTGGTTTTTTATGTTCACCCCCAACCCCCATACTGGGAATTGAACCCAAGAGCATTCCACTATTAAGCTACCCCATCAGCTTTTTGTACCTGTAGCTCAGTTGCTCAGAAGGCTGAGGTAGGAGGATCATATAAGCCCAGGAGTTTGAGGCCAGCTTGGGTAACACAGTGAGACCTCATGTCAAAAGGAAAAAAGTAATTCCTGAACATGGGATATTTTCCATTTATTTTGATCTTTATGTATTTCACAATGTTTTGTAGTTTTCAGACTAAGGTTTTCCACTTTTCTTGGTAAATCTGTCCTTATTTTGT